GGTTATCAATTTTTATAAATTCATATGATGTGAATTTCTGGAATTTTCTTTGGGATTCTGTCTCTTACTGTTAGAATGCACATATGATTAAAATTGTAGATTTTTGCATTCTTTGTAAGTGGGCAAACCTGCAAAAATCAGCAAGGGGTCAAATACTTATTTCCCCCACTGTACATACATTTACTCCCACGGAAAAAATATATACTAAAAACAGAAGGATCAATTGATCAAAAAGATACTAGGTATTTATGAGATGAGTGTGCTCTTCAACAGGTTTAGTTGAACAGATTTCCAGTGTTGAGCTCTTAAACAGTTATACATGAGGAAAAGGAAGCATGGTAGTACGAGTAACAATAGATAAAGAAGCAGCACAAGTAATATCACAGTAACATTTAACATTCTAAAGATGATAAAAAAATATATTTTTGTGTATTTAAAATAGCATCAGAATTACATACACAATATCTAGAATATTATCTGCATAAAAATGACAGAATTTAGATCTAGTTGCTTATATAAATATGTTTAACACTCAAATTAATTAAAAGACTTTACCTAAATTATTTTAGCAAAAAAGGCTTGTCACTTTAATTCGATTTTTTCATTACTTTGAATGATTTAATTGTGAGAACTACCTCAAATAGGGTGCATAAAGATATAACTTACCAGGTTAACAAGAGGACCTCCAGAGTTGCCATACTTGTTTCAAGCATGATGGACGTAGAAAAGAACAAAAAAAAACATAGAAACATTAAATTCTTGGTCATAATCAATATGAATGTAAAATGATTATAAAGTGAAGCCCAAAGTCATTCATACATCTGGTAGATTCTGGTATAAAGCGATTTTTTAATTTGTCTAACATGTTTCCTTTGATTTAAGGTTATAATGTTCTGAAGTTGCCCAGCCTTAAATTGGACTTGAACCTTGGTTGAGAATTTGAAAAGGGAGCTATAGATTAGGACGATGACAAGGAGGCCTTACAATCCCAAAGACTTAGAGCTTATCACCAAAGTTAACTCTAAACGTTTGGATTATTGAACAATGCATTCGCTGAGGTGTGTGTTTGTGTGCTCACATTGATAATGGCATCAGTCTGGATGTAGTCCATGTCCGAGTCCTTGATGCCCAGCTCTTTACCATCTCTCTGAGCAGTGCTGACGATGCCTGTAGTCACCGTGTTCTGCAGGGCGAAGGGGCTGCCGATGGCCACGACAAACTCCCCTGGTCTCAGGTTAGCTGAACTGCCCAAAGAGAGCACCTGGAGCTTCTTCTGTTTTCCAAAGGAGAGCGAGATAGAGAAAAAAAAAACTAAAAGAGTGAAAAATGCAAGTGCCAGAAAAACATTGTGGTCAGGAAGTCAGGGAAAAAAAAAAAAAAAAAAAGAAAGAATCCTTCTAGAGATGAGGAGAGAAAGGGAAACACTTTCATGCAAGCAAAACAGCCAAAGTATTTGGGATGTGGGTGTGAGAATACACACATTAGTGCTGGAGCATGACTCAGTGTTTACCAAAGCATTTCCGCTAACTTTCTGAAAGCCTCGCAGGCATGTCTGTTATGTAGCTGGGTTAGAATTTTCATGCTAGCTCGATAAACAATCGCAGAGGTAAATGAATAGACCAGAAGCCATCCACGCCATCCCGCTTACCTGTGGATTGATCTTGATTGTAGCTATGTCCGCTTTCCTGTCTACATTTCTGACTGCAGCCTCATAAGCATCTCCATCGTGGAGTTGGACTCGCAGCTGCGGCCTCCCGGTCACTGAGCCAGTAGTGGTAACCACGTGAGCGTTGGTCACGATCATACCCGAGTGAGTCACGATGAAACCAGACCCACTGGACAGACGCACATGGCGGCCAAACAGGGGATGACTGCACAGGGGAAACAGAAGGAAAAAGGTTTTCTCATTTTATCTTCTGATTTTATATTTGAATGGTGCTGCAGATAGTGAAGCTAACAACATTTCAACATCAGGAAGAAAGCAGAAGAAAGCAGTACCCTGGAAAGCTCAAATTTATCTGTATGGAACATTTGGTTAAACATCGAGATTTGCTTTAAATCTACTCTAAGATTTCCCACCTTACAAACAGTTCGATGTGGACGACCGCAGGGACTATTTTCTCCACGACATCTGCGATGAAGTTGAACTTGTACCGAGGGCTGCTGGAACGGGTTAGAGAACGACCTGAGAAAACAAGCTGCATTATACACAGAAAAGGCTGCAGCGCAAACCCCAACTTCCACATCACTGCTTTTGGCTCTTGGGGACCGATCTATTGCTGTGCTGGGCTGGGGTTGGCACATATTAGATTAAAATATACCCATGTCCTTCATTATCCCTGTCAAAGTCTTAAAACTTGAGAAACTATGTTCACAGACGCTCCTCAACCATGCTGATCATATTTTAACTGTTTTGCAAAGATTTTGTGACATAATTTTCACTATCTAGATATGCAACGCGGGTGGAGAAATACCCAAAAAGCTTTCAGCTGGTACCAAACACTATCTACTGACTCAGGAGGAATGAATACAAATGCATGCCACACTTTTCAGATAGTTACTAGTAGAAAGTATACAAAGACATTGTTCCCTGTGGCCTAACATGACTGTTAGGTTAATATGCAGCTTGCAATTGTCCTTAGGTGTGAGTGTGTGTGCATGGTTGTGTGTCTCTGCGTTGCCCTGCGGCAAACTGGTGACCTCAACTTTTGCAAATAAACTGCTGGAGATAGGGACCACTGTGACCCTGAGTGATGAAGTAGGAGAAGTTTTAATTATAGAAACTTCGCCAATTGGACGTTGAATCTAATTTGGTGATGAAGGACTTTTGCTGTTCTATTATAAAATCAGTATTTTGAGATAAGAAAAAAAACACATCTGTGAGAGTGATCAACATGTGGTGGTAAGGGTTGCTCTTCATTAGAGTCACGTTTCTAATTTCCATCTTTTGAAATCTCTGAAAATGATTAAAAGCACTTAATAGTTTTAAGTATTCACAGACTGACACTGAAAATCTACCAGGAAAAATAAATAAATAAATAAATAAACAAATTAAGACAGATATGCAGCTGCTCTCCAACCTCATGTTACACCAAGCCCTTTGTACTCAGTCAACCTGTGAAATTCTTCCAGAAACCTTTAAATTTATCAGGATGTTATTCCTGTTTGGAACTTTTCTGCCATGCTTTACAATATTATCGTCCTTTATAGCCCATGCTTTACATATTCTGGGTTATTTGAGACATAACCCTGCATGATTTAACCATATTCTGCACATATTACAGCAGAATGAGTCCTTGGTTACTTACTCCCTGCATCTCCCTCCTCACTGCACACAGCAGATTGGGCACAAAACCGGGAAAGTCAAATATTTTTTGCACAGCAGTGATTTCAAACTGTTTTTGGCCTCACCATATGACTAATGTAAACAATAATAATAATAATAATAAACATTCTACAATATTGGTTGTACACTTCAAATAGCTTCAGAAAAAGAGACATCTTTTAAGAGTGAAATACCTTCTTTGCATCTGTCACTTTTCACTCTACAATTTTTCTGTCAAATACTTTTATATTTGCATTACAGTTAATATGAATCAATAACACAGTTGCACTGTTTGTAAAAGACAAATTATTATTTTTTTTTTTTATTTAATATCAGATGTCCCAGCAGGTCCTACCTGCACCCAGAGCTGAGCAGGGTCCTTTGTGCGCCTGGCTCACCGCGGTTCTCCCTTTCAGCGCGGCTCTTCTATTGGCCGCTTTCAGCTTACAAACGCTGCTGTAGGTTTTCCCATCGCTGCCGCAGACCTCATGGTCCTGCTTGCACCGGCAGACCCCCCTGGAGGCGCCACGCCGCTTTTCTGCAGCAGCGACCGAGCGCGCCGTGCACTCCAAGCCGTCCCCGCACGGTAAGTCGTTCTTGCGGCCGCAGGGGTCCCCCTCTCTCGGTGAGCACACCAGGCAGCAGCCGCACCTGTCCGGGACGTAACCACCGGGACAACTGGGGCTGGGACAGGAGCTCACGTCGCACCTGGAGGCGCATTTATCCGAGCGCGCAACTTTGGGGAGGCCGTGCGTAATGGAGATAAACACGGCTGCCAGTGAGAAAAAATGCATTATAACGGAAAACAAGAGATCGGACGGAAGGATCTCAGTTTATATTGTCATGTTAGTTTTGTTAAACCAAAAGAAAATGAAAAAAATACATAAATATTACAAGTCAGCATCTAGTTCCCTTTGCTCGCCAAGGTCTCCCAAGAAGCTGAAGTTTGACTGAAGTCATGTCTAGGTCTATATGAAGCTCCAAAAGCTCATGGTCAGTCATCCGTGCCAGCATAGCCTATATTTTCACTGCTGTGGTTTTTTCGGAGTTTTTCTTCCCAGAAACAGATATTAGGAGTGGTTTCTAGCACCATCTAGTGGACACAAAACACACCAGCAGTTTCACATGTCCAGAAAGCCCCCTACACAGCGGACATGGTTGGGTCAGTGTATTTGTTTTACTTTTTGTTTGTTTAAGGAAAGTATGTTTTGTTTTTTTTTGTTTTTTTTGGGGGGGGGCTAACATTAGAGAAGTAAAAGTTCAGGGCAAAAGTTCATCATTTTACACATTAAGAACCCTTTGGAATTTTTAAATCATAGGTAACGGAAAACTGCAAATTTGGTTGCAGTTTCTGTTCCAATGCTTATCTTAAATTATTTATCATTAATTTATTTCTGAGGGGTCTGGCTGGACCTGCACTGTCAAGACCCTTCACCTGCATAATGCACTGTCAGGACGTTTTATTCGAAGCCTTCAGGAATAGCACTGAGCATATGATTTTATTAGAAGACATCATTTTTTGCATGGGGATTTCTCACTTAAATGTGCCTTTTCAATTCTTTTCCCCCCACTTAAAGACTAAGAAAACAATGTTTTATCATAATATTTGTTCTTGTTCCTTTCTTTTCTAAAGGTGCTCAGATAGATTAAAATCAATAGACTGAAATGACCCAAGTTTTATTATTTATTTATTGTTTGTTAAATATTCAACTATCATACAATCATTAAATTGGAATAAAAATGTCAAGATTCATACATAAGAAAACACAACAGCATCGAGCATGAAGAGAAACATTGTCTTAAATGTCTTCTTTTTGTAAAAGAATATTTTACAAAGAGGAATTGTTATCCCTCAATGCAGGCGGTTCAAGAGAAAGCTGCCAGCAGTTAAACACATGCCAAACCACAAATACATTCATTGTTCTGAGAGCAATCTCTTGTACTGAAATGTTTCGGAGATAGGATCTGTGTGTAAACCGTAAACAGAATACATTCAAGCCATGTCCCCCCCCCCCTGCCCCAACCTCAGGCCACTCCTCTAAATTCAAGTTTAATCATAAGTCTAAGCTTGAGGCTTCCTTATAATTCTTCAAAACAAAAACATTTGGCAGTACGTAGGTTTAAAGACACTGTCAAGATTGTGGTTTTAGAAAATAAATAAAGGTTACAGTGGGCTTTGACCCATTTGAGTGTATGAGCTAGAATACTTCTAGCTGTGAAGGTGTACGTGTGTTTTACACAAAGTATTCATCCAAGGCAAAGGAAGTACTTTGGAGTTTTAATCCAGGTAAGGACAAGTCCCAAACTGCAGTAGAAATCCCTTTATGGAGAGCTGCAAACCAGTTCCTTAGATTAACCCAAACTTTTAAACTGCTAATACAAGTGGACTTTTTTGGCAATTACTCCCCTAAGACCTGGTTTTAAACTTCAGTAGATACTTTGAGAGAATTTCTGGAAAGAAAGGGAAAAAAAAAAAAAGGAAAAATGTAGCTTTCCAAACAATGAACAAAGCCTCCATTGTGAAAAATCTGATTATTAAAAAACCCAAATGACCTTAGGGTTTTTCTGACAGGAAATCAAGGTATGCTAATCTCTCCATGTTACACTTTTTGCTAAACTCCTTTCACAAAATTAAAAGTAAACAGCATAAACTCTGCTTCCCTTCAAACATTTATTTGATGTACTTTCTGCTTGCTGGCTCTGCTTCTTATCCTCTGATAGTCTGCCCTCCTCCCTCTTTAAGGACTGATGTTGGAACAGAGCAACAAACTTTCCAGAAGTCTTTCTAGTTTTCCTTCTTAGGCTTTTCGTTCTACCAAGAGGAAAAAAACGGTCTTTTGCAGTGGAAGGTTTGTGTGAATGCGTTGCCGAGCGTAACAACCCGTCCTTGGCCGCCTGAGCGGCTGCGCTCCACCACCACACGAGGCATCTGCACCAGCTGGATGGGGCTCTTGCCATCTTTAAGTGCCTGAGTCAGGTTCAACACCTGGAAGGAGAATAAAACTAGATTGAAGCATCAACAACAAACAGCTAACTGTGAGCACAAAACAAAAGAAAAAGATAAATATCTGCTGCTTCACAGCCCATCCCCTTTGCATGCATCCACGTTCCTTTTAACAAACTAAACTGCTGGAATACTTGGTTTAGTAAAAAAAAAAAACTATTCAAACTAATTATAAAATGAGAAGTTAACATATGCACTTTCTCCCTTTTCAATGCAATTCTTTAACAAATGAAGTTGTAAGAGTTGGCTGCCTTTAGAGCTTAAAAACATCTGGGTCTAATATTAATGTTGTTTAGTGTTTGTTGCCTTCCTCCTAAAAGACTGATTATTTTAGAACATGTGTAAAGAAATGCATCATTATTGTCTGCAACTTTGTAGCACAATTAATATTTTATCCAGCCAAAAGGAAAAAAAAAAAAAAAAAAGACAAAAATAAGGATGGAACAGTTTTGGTTGTGCATCCTGGAGGTACGTATATTTATGTAACACACACTGTATGATATTGGGCCAAAACAAGCCAACATGTTGGATTTCCTGGAATTGCGATCGGAGCAGTTGCAACATTTTACAGAGAAACTCCATATCAGTGTAAACATGCAAACCTGAGAGGTGGCCATGTGAACTAGCATGGACCTTTTGTCATAAGATTTCACAAAAAAAAAAAATAGAATAGAGGTTAGAAAACCAAGATAGTTGTTGTCTTATTTGTCTGATAAGTTGATGCCAGGGTTTAAAAGCAGAGGGATTTGCTAACCATTGTGTTTTCTGACATGTAGTAAACACTGTTAAAATGCAAAACATAATATCTTTCCCTCAATTCTGCATCAAATACATATCAGATTGTTGTGTTTGTTCCACTGGTTTAAATTTTAAAAGGTGCAGAAATAATTATATGTTTCCTGCAACTCTTACTACATTTACTAAGAACAGATTATGATTGCTCAGAGCTCTGACATATAGACTCCTGGGAATTCATTATAAAAGCAAACAGGCAAAAAAAAAAGAAAAACAGTAGCAGGTAAACCAGCGGAGGTATAAATATTCATCCTTGATCGAGGATTAAACTCACCTGTCCTCTCATGACAGACATCTGTCTCTCAAACATGGTTTTATCAAAACCTTTATCTGCCTGAAACCAGAAAAAAGATCACTAACATTAGCATGTATGCTGTGGAATGAATACACACATCAGCTTTGTGCTGAAACATGTTTGATTTCTACCTTGAACATCTCATAGAGGTCCTCACAGAGGTCCTGGACGAAGTTCATGTCAGAGAGGCGGGACAGCACCAGGTCTCTGGTCTCCTGGGAGAAGGGCACCTTGGCCTGGGGAAGCCATGCCCAGTGGAAGGGGTCTAAAAGTAGAGCACAACCGCCAGGTTTATTCAATTCTGCACAACCCAGCTGGTTTTTTATATAGTGAATTAACATTATGAACAAAATCTGAACAAAAGTCCCCCTTTGTCTTGAGTAAAAGTAAATTTCTGATTACAAGTAGCAAGTTAGGGGTAAGTGGATAGTCAACAAAATGTCAAGCAGCTCATCTGTCAGGTTTCCCTATTTTTCCTTAAATTTCTTTAACAAAGTTATCATCAACATAAAGCGTTACATAAGTTTCAAACATACATGCTCTCCACTCATCTGGGTGTTTAAAGGGGAAGGCCAGGCCATTGTCGATGGCTGCTATCTTGATGCAGGAATCATTCCCCAACCACTCGGCATCCTGAAATGCAATCAACAGCATCTTCAATGATCATTTTTTAAGTATTATAAATGCTAATTAGACAAATTATACACATTAATCATCATGACTGATAATGACCCATATTAGCTTTAATCTGGCTTTAACAGCCTTCCATGGTAAAGCATTGCTAACATTAAATTCAGCTTATTTATATAGCGCCATTCACGTCACATTATCTCAAGGCACTTTACAGGGACAAATTTAACCAGATCATACAGTCAGATTGGTTCAAAGTTTTCTATTTTAGGAAAACCAGCTAACTGCATCGACTCATTGACTTGAAGGCAATCCCTCATACCCAGCATGCTTGCAGTGTCAGTGCAGCGGACAATAGAGCCTACCTTCTCGCTTTCATCTACCTCTCCTGGCTGCTCATACTTGATCAACCAGTTGTCATTTCCACGATCTGAACAGGAAGAAAACAGAATAACACACGTTTGCATTGCATAAGTGCTTAAGGAACATAGAGACAACCATTTACAGGAGAGAAGGTGTAAGGGGCCAAGGAAATTCAAGCAACTTGCAGGGTTGGTAAACTTTTTAGAGCATTTGTAGTAGATATAACAACACATTCTTTAATGCCTCAAGCCAAACTCTCTCACCTGTGTTTCTGATGACATAATCCAACACAACCAGTCTCTCAAACTGGGACTGCAGCTGTTTCCTGATGTTCTCCGGCAGAGGTTCCGCCTCAAAGCGCCGCAGCCAGTAGTCGGCTTCGCGGTAACCTTCAACAAACAGCTGAAAGGAGCCCACCTGGAAAAGAAGAAAAAAAACAAAAAGGAAGCATGTGACTTTTTTTTTAATGTGTAGCAAAACAAACAACATGTTTGAGTACACATCAGCTTTTAAAAGCAGGAAGTTCACCGATGTTATAAGTTGGGAGGTAGTGATGCAACGGGTGAACTTTTAAAACATCCGAACTGTTGCAAAGAATGGAAACAAACTGTTTATTTACTGCAAACATTTTCACAATAACTTCAAAACTTAGGGGAAGCCCTCAGGTGCAAGAATGTCTGAGTTGATCACTGAAAAATATGAAACTGTAATTAAAATGGTTAGTTCTCAAATGTAAGCAGCTTTAACAATATTTGATGATCCTACCCTGCTGATAACTGATTCGATTAGCGCCAAAATTCCAACAAGGAAACCATAACCGGTGTGTTTATTTACTTTTTTTCATAAAGGCTGATATAAAAAAAAAATATATATATATAATAATAACTACAAAGTAAGACACAATGGGCTCATGTTGTTCATGCTAATTTAACTTAATAATGTTGAGTCTCTTGATATTTTCAATTTTCTCTATGCACATAAAGAGATGTAATAATGCTAATTAGTTTTAACTTATTTTGGGTATCTATACATCTGATTCAATTCCTTAAAAAATGCTTCTTTTAACTGGCCCAACAAATAGTTTGTGATAAAGTTAATTCACTTTTTTGGTGGCAAAGTGGGAGCCTAGAGTGCTTTAATACAAATAACTGGTGCTAAAAAAAACCCTGAACACAGGAAAGATTAACTTCACTAGTATTAACGTAATCCATTTGAAGATGACATACTCATTAAAAAAAAAAAATAATAATTAAGAGGCCTTTTTTTAACAGAGTATTTTAAACAATTATATAAAGACAACTAACATGATTAAGATCAGGAAAGTAAAGTCTGGATGGAGGTGATAGTCTGTTACCTTAGGAGGAAGGCCCACTCTGTGAAACCGTCGTCCCACCTTGGGCACTTTTTCTAAGGCATACTTCTTCCCTCTGGACTTGGCTCTGTCTATCGCGCTGTAGTGGAAGGTCTCGCTGGCTAAATACACCACCTGACAGACAGGAAGGAATTTAGCTTGTCTCATTAAAGATAAAACACAAATCAGATCGTTTTGAGACAGATTCAAAAAGGTAAAACACTGACAAAAAGAACCACGGACAAATTAATCCAATCGGCAACATTCAGGTTAAAAAGTCTTTGAATTGTACAGGTGCGTTTTAATAACTTTTCGTCATCAAATAGTTTATTTCAGCAATCCTATGAAAAAATTTTATGTGATAACTATATGTGTATATATGTGTAATTATTCATTTAAGATTTTCATTCAGAGCGACCAAAATGCTTCTTTTTACTAGAAGTAATATCAATGCCTGGCCTAATCTGAGGCCTGAAAGTGATTAGGGCGATGGTGAAGAGGCTTCAAAGCTGAAACACATGGAGCTCAACAACAATTATCTTTATTCTATTAATTAATGGGAAGTAGAGATTGACTGATGAAGGTTTATTTTATAATTCATCAGTTTGATATCAGTCTACTATCAGTCTAATATGCAATGAGGATTTTTTTTGGGCCATACTTTCTTTTTTAGGCTGATCCTATTTTCTCTTCCTCCCTCTACATGATTAAAAATGACACAATGATAAATCTGACAAGGATCAATTTACACAAAAATAAATATTTATCAACAAATTGAACAAATGGTTGGTCTATCTTTATTAAAAGGCTTTAAAAATGGAAAGATGATATTCCCGAGAAATGAAAATAAAAACTATTAAAAAAAACTTTATTTCCTTTACATTGTTTTATCTTTAAACAAACATGTTCCTAACATTTTAATCAAATCTTTGTAAATAAAAAAACTTTAAATTTTAAACCCAATTAGGGTTTAAAGTTGGTGAAAATTCAAAATTCTGAGTCTTAGAAATGTTTTTAATTCAGTCTAAGGTCCAGAGTGAAGTTTCTGCTGTCTGTGGTTATTTGGACCGTTATGTCACTCTGGTTAATCAAGATCCATGTAGCTGTCCACCAGAAAAAATAAAAACATGGTGCTTTTCTCTGTTTTCACGCTTTAAGCTGTTTTCAATCTGCAGCAGGAAAACTGCTAATAGTTCCCATCACTGTTCTGATGAACGGGAACGTTATAAGAGACCACCTGACCAAAGATTACAGGTTCTGGACCAGGAGGGCTGTTATTTTTCAGGAGAAGAAGGTGTTTCTTAATTGTTCTGTTCTGTGATATAATGGATTATTAATGTTTAACAAACCATAAATATCTGAATTAATGAAAGCAAATGAAAAAAATCACTTTGATTGATTAACCCAAACATACGGTTTCATTTCTTACGAATGAAATCTAAAAAATATTATTTCTGATGACAGGCTAGTAGGTTGTTTTTAGAGGACATTGTTTGTAATGAGAAATGTACCTTTGTTTTCGGCACCACTCCAAGACCGAGCTTCGTGTCAACCAGGGAGGCCGCAGCCTCTGAGAGGTAACCCTGATTGGGCAGCAGGCAGCCTCGGCCAAAACAGCACGGACAGCAGAGCTAACAGCAAAGGAAACAGAGAGAGGTTTGCAGCGGTCATAAAAGTCTCAAATATGACTGGAGTCTGAAACCATGTTGAACAGTGTACCTTGTGAAAATATTTGGTCCATTTTGGGTTCAGGTGACCATAAGGTTCCTCTGACTTTGGTTTAAAAACACCAATGATTTTCTGAAGACATAAAAGTGAACATTATGAAAAGATGATGCTTAACAAGGTCTGCTAATGTTACCCGCAGAGCAATTAAAGAAATGACTTGAATTCTGTAATTCTGTTTCATGTAATTTGAAAAGAAACAAAAAAAAGAAAGCAAGAAGTGATAGCCAACATCTGTTACTGTTCATAGATAACTTTGCTTTCTCTTTAAATGCCTTATAGAACAATTGTGCATCCTTACAATCTGTTATATAAAGAGTTTTGTGAAGCAAATACCCTTGTGTTGTTGGGTTCTGGGTGTAACTTTACCCCTTTTGGGTCTTTAACAAAGTAGCTCCCGCTGGATCCTTGTGAAATCCTTTCAGGAAAAACACCGCTCTCTATGGCTTGCTCTGCCCTTAAGATGAAATCTGCAAACTCTGGATCTTCTGGAAAATGGTTGAAGTCCCCACTGTTGGTACCTGGTAGGAGAATAATATCAAAGAGTCACCAAATGTGCAGCAAGCAAACAACATGTGCCATCTTACTTTATTTAATCAAAGGTTTCTGCATGGACCTTTTCACACAGTCATGGAAAAAAATTCTATGTCAATCAGTTTTTTGTTTTCTTTATTTTATTCTCCAGGTAATATACCATTGAAATACTAAATTGAAGGAAGCAAGGGGGGTCTAATGTTTCTTGACTGTACATATATACAAAAGTCAAATATAATGTTGTAAAGGCCAGAAAACACTCAAGAGTCCTAAAATCAAACCAAACAGATCTGACTTTTTGCAACCCAAAGCTAAATAAAGAAGATACATTAAAAGTTCATTTTTAACTACAGCAAGCAGCTCAAGTGGGAAGATGGGAGTTAGAATGGGCTGCAGGTGCATAAAACTAACTGTATAGAATTTGCTGTAGATTAGATTATCAAACAGATTAACAGTAACACTGTCAAAGCATCTATAACCTTCAACTGATATATAGAAATGTATCTCCGGATACCAGCTGAGTATCTTAACTTTCTTCCAAACCATACTTCTGTTGCAAAACTATCCATTTGCTTTTTAGGACATGATGTGTTGGGAAACAGCAGGGAAGCTAACTGCAGAGGGTCAGAGTTTGAGCTTTACTGTAGTGCAGTTTCTAACCCAGGAGTAAAACTGGGAAGGACTCTTTTGAGAAAAGTGAGACTTTCACAAAAGGTGCATTAGCCAATATAAAGCAGTAGCAAGTAGTATTAGTGAGTGACGATGCACACCTGTGGGTAAGGAAGCAACACAGCAGGCAGGACCAAGAGTAGAAAGTATGTCTAAGCCGTCTCTATTGTTGTGCTTTCATTTAGAGATTTGTCAGCATAGTTCAATCATCATTGTCCAAAATCAAAGTCAGACTTAAGTTTTCTATTAAGTTCTTTTAAATTTCTAATTAGGATTCATGTTTGTTAGCTTTCCAAACTACTGTCCTTTTTGTCCTTGGTGGATAAATCATTGTTCAATTTGAATTTGACTGAAACGCTCCTGGGATTAGTTTCGTCACGGGTGGCCACAGTCTTATCTGACTTTTAAGCTCACAATTTCCTGTTAACTTACAACACATTATGCTGCACAAGTACAAGAAAGTAAGTAGCCTCTCAGTTTCAGGTGAATCGATCACAGACACGTCACCCCCACAGTAGCAATCAAACCATATGAATTATATTATCACCTAGCAACTCATTCCCAATAATAGGCTGTGAAGCCACTTGTTTATATGCCCTGCTAATTATTACTCCGACGAAAGCACCTTTCACATGACATGACACATTCCTACGTCTTCCGCTTGCAAGTAGCAGAACACTCAGCTGACATGGAGGGTGTGTATGCTTTGCATCGGTCCCAATGTGTTACAGTGGCATGCAGGGAGAAAACAAAGAGATGTAGAAGTGGAAAAGCGGTTAATGGACCGTCCTCTGAAGAGAAATGGAGAGAAAAATGGTAACTTTGAAGCTTAAGCTTCACTTAGGAAGAACATGGGTGAAATAAAAAACAAAAAAATCATAAGGAAAAGTTAGAGAAAAGATGTGTTTTTATTATTAAAGATGTGGTAAAAGGTAATATTCTATCTATGCTTGCTTTTTGCACAATCTATGACTTAACAACTGTTTAGAGAAATGCAATACAAACATTTTGTAATAAATAAAGTTACACCTATAACACATATCTGCATATAACAGTGTGTTTTTTTTTTATCTAGCCAAATAACTCCAAGATTCTAAAGTGACAGACTGACTCATATACAAGTCAGTAGAGGAAGATCGCTGGGCTGACACTCACAACCAAAGTTCATTACAATCTTCCACGTGTTATTTTCTGGTGACCTGTGACAGTGATACAGCAGGTTTGTTGGGTGTTTAATTAGAGCACAGAAACAATATTAGTGCGGTAGTTGTGTTTATTCATGGCATCCAATGGATAGTGAAATGTTTACAAAATAAAAAAAAAAATAAGTAAATGTATTGGCTAGAAAAAATAAATAAATAAATAAAGCAGTGGGTATCAATATCGGCCCATATCTCAAAGTCAGTGAGTTCCTATTTCAAACCATACAAGTTAAAAGAAAATATATTTATTTTAAGAATAACTATATTTAGCTTCCTTTTTTAAAGAACGACCAAAGCTTCTAACACTGCTAACAGCGTCTCCTTTCTCTCTCCTACTGGCTTCAAAGGGAAAAAAAGCCTGAGTGGACATGAAAACAGTATAGATCCTTCCTTTTCCCTCTATTCTTACTTTTTTTAGCACAAAACACCACAGACTGTGAGTCGGCCTGGAAAGTGCCCTGATGCATATTTGATAACAGTCTCAGGCGCCCGGTTTAGCTTTTAGGGAACGGAAAGCTCTTTTGTTTGCAGCATATTTATGAAAAGCTGGAGAGTCAGAGTGATGTGTAAAATAAGTTAAGGAGTAACAAAAAAACAAAGCTAAATAAAACCATTTCAACAAGATTCTAGTGGAATTAAATCCTTACAGCACTGGAACTAAAACAAAGAAATACTTAATCACTTTTATGGTATTTTGGTGAAGATGGACTTAAACATTTCACACAATTTAGCAGAGTTTTAATTTCACACCACATCTGTTCTAAAAGGCCACAGAAATTTGTTCACAGCAACCTTCCATTTGAGACTGAATCTCTGTACCTGCGGCCTAGATTTCTGAACCTGATTAAAAAAGGGTCCAACAATAGATTTTAACTATCAGAGGAGACAAGCAGAGAAATAAAAAAGATCAATAAGAGGTATCACCATCAGAGCATCGTTGCATAGGACCAAAATGGCGGAGAGAGCATCCAGCGGATCAAAACGTTCACCGGAAGATGATCTTTTGCCAAAATGAAGTTCTCTAGCTCAGCGTTATAAAGTAAAGAGTATCCTACTTCTTCCCCAGACATGTTCCTCACAAAGGTGATGCTGATGTAACATGTTTATCCTCTGTAAATCTACACATACGAGGCAGCGGGTGAAAAGCAGAGGGGAAAGGGGGAGTCAAGGCCAAGGTGTAACTGTAGTAGAGGCATCACTTGTTACACATCTTGTTTTGGTCTACAGAGATTGCTCAAATGTCCCATCTGGGGGTGAGCCTTTCCTCTCTCATAATGTAATGTACTTCTATATCAAAGTGGTATAAAGACACAACTATAGACACATTAATCAGGTGTTTGCCACAATTTATATAATTATTGATTTATTGGCAAGTGTAAGTAGCTGACACATGGTTAATAAGTTAGGCTATCTGCTATGCACACATGCACAACCTTCTGACTGTGTTATGGTAATATAAACAAGAAGCAGCTAATCAATTACATAAGTGAAGGAAAGCAGTGTTTCAGGTGACATCATTTAAAAGTAAATCACACCGTTATCTGGATGCATTAGGGAAAAGATACACAGGGGCAAAGTCCTAGATAGCTATTATCTACTGCCAAAGGAATACAGAGTACTGAGGCCAGATGTCAGCATGAAGTTCATAGATTTAAAAATAAATAAATTATGGCTGTTAAAATATAGACAACAACAATGACACCACTGCATGTCTTATTTTGTTTTTTTATTCCTAAAGGAGCCTTTTAATCCTGTGGAGGGAGTGATCAATATTCCCCAGAGTGATTGCATAACATTTACATGGATTTGAACACGTTTCATTTATGGCTCCCTTCAGAAGAAGCACTTTACTCTGCGTAGAGATCATCTGGCAGGAAGTGAAGAGAACTCTGCTACTTCCCGTTAAAAAGAAGGAGCCCTGTTTAAGTGAATTCATCAAAACAATTACCTGGGGAAGCCAGGGTGTCTTTATCCGACGACGAGCTGTGTCTGTTCCGCCTGCTCCGCTTGTCTCGGGCCCCCTTAGGAGAAACCGAGCTTCCTGCTAGGCAGGGTAACAGCAGCGCCTCTTCGCCGGAGCCGTCCGTCTCTAGTTCGGTTAAGACGCTCTCTCGAGAGTCCGATATCCGGACAGCGACTCCAGGGTTGGCCGAATGCCCCAGTGCTATCCGCCTGTTGTCGAATGAGGGTCCTATGGAGTGAAAGTTTGAATCCAATTCGGAGACTGCTGCTGCCTCCCCGGTGTCCAGCACGGGCAAGCCGCTTTCTGTCTCCGTAGGGTCGCACTCTGACATCATTTTGCTCCTTTTATTTATAGATTTTTATAGTTAACAAAACGAACGTTTACGGTTTCTCCTCTTCAAATTATCAATATTTCATTTTTGAAAGAATAACATGTTTAAAGAAGAACGTAAAGCAAATTATCATCATTTGAAAGCAGCTACTTTCGCTCACCCCTACGCCAACATTACCAGTCGTCATCAAGCCTTTTTCTTTCCTTCCTAGTTACCTATCTGCGCATGCGCAGTACGATCCATTCGGTTGGTCGTGGTTGCCTTCAGGTGCTCTTTAGAATGTCGGATTTCGAGGAATTTAAAGAAGCAAGGACTCTGTTTGCAATTGTTAACAGATTTACTCGTTTTGTTTGTTTGTTTTTTTAGGCACTTTTTTTTAAAACCAGTCAACTAGCTTCCACTAGTTTTCAATTTGTTTCTATGAATTCAATATTTTTGGCATTAATAAAGACTAACTTACTTTTTCGTCAGTTACAAGCGTTTCTGTTCAAGATAGGGCCTACAATTCCCTTACTAAGCTAAATTTTATTTCATATATCATAAATACCCTACCTACAGTATTTCATACCTGCTACCTACGTTGTTGGCATTAAAAACCCCTACATATAAAGGAAATTAGTACAAATTGGTTTTAATCGTGTAATACATCTTTACATCTTTGATTGGATGTATAGCCAGACGAAAAATAAACAAATAAATCAAATGTCGGCGAATGTCAAGAAAATGGATTAAAATTTCAAACAACTTCATTGATGCCTTCACTGACCATCAATTATCGTCAATTCAACAGAAAAAAATGTGAGTTACACTGTCGGCCAGCAGGGGACGACGCTAACTCACAAATTCAACTGGATCTCTAACAAACATCATCGCTCTAGAGTTGCAGGTGTCTCTCTGAATGAAAATAGTAATGTTTAAAATGTAAGGCAAATTTAACTGCTGTAGTAACCTAAACTTTTCTGAATGTTTTTTGCAGGCAATACATGCATAGCATTTACACAAAGAATGACAAATGGATATTCTTTTCATAAAATATGTTGTTACTTCAAAAATATGATTCAATCCCTTTAAATAAAAGTTTGGTGACATTAAACTTAACTGCTTTGCAGGTAGCTTTACAAAATTAAAAAATAGGAAAATATAGTTCCTATTGCAAAGTTTGCTGACCCCTAATTTGGAATTTTGTAACATAATGCTTGTTTTTGTCCTGTTTATTCAAAACCCAGCATACTGGTTCTCATATATATATATATATATATATATATATATATATATATATATATATATATATAT